AGATGGCAGGACAATGAATATCCAGAGTCCTTAACATAAATCCCAGTTCTAGACAGTATGTATGCTAATGATTTGAAACAGGTTCCTGTTGCCCCTGTTTATCAGTAACACATTCAGGATTGAAACAACATCAGCTTAAGCCTCCAAACTGCATATTTCTAAGGTTTTCTTTTCAGAGTTACCAGGCCCAGCTCTCATCCATTCTACCCAGGGAAACTCTACAGTAAAAAAAAAAATCTCATTTGTAACAGTTGAAATGAGACCCACTTTTAGTGAAACAACTCCAAATTACATGGATATAATGTAAAACCATCGTTTCAAGTTAGAGTTAAAAATGTTTAACCATTCCTACCACTGCACCCAGGTCTCATTACTGGACTATTTATTGGAGATGAGACAGTCACACTGCAAGCAGGGCTAGAACAGACGGTCCATATCATCACTTCCAAACTCCTGGCACTTACATATGGCCATGTAAGAAGTGGTCAGTTCAAAAGCTTCGCTTCCTGCATCTTTCTCAATCACAAAAATACTTCAGCTACTTCAGAACAAGAACTACCAAAGAGCTCAAGAGACTGAAACCCACACCTACAATGAACTGCTGTAACTAAAGTTGGGAAGCTTAAGAGCATGGCCAGTATCCCAATCCTCCACACAGCAGTTGTTCAATAAAACATTTTGGAACTTATTTTTATTTTAGGAGTACAAAAAGATGACAGCCCTTCACACATAAGCAAACCCTAACAACCTGACACAAAGGGCAGACAGAAAAAGCATCTCCCAGTAAGAAACTGTATTACCGGTTCCATCCTAGGACAGCTATTTCATGTGACCAAATCTGCACTCAGAGCTGAGTGCTGGAAGCAGCAGTGCGTGGCATTTGCTCAACAGAAGTCAGAAATGCAAATCAAGCATTCAACATTCCCTAAGAAACAGAACCAAATGACAGTTCTCATAAGGCTACCACATAAATTCAAGGCATATCCGCATATAATGATCATTACGTGTGCAGTTCTGGTTCCCATCTCTCCAGGATGACTGAATAGAGGTGAAAACCTTCCTAACCATCCCGATTGGTCACATTTAAGCATGGTAAGAATTCTACAGGTAAAAACCTGGGAACGAGGATGTTTGAGCCAGAATAGAGATAGTATCAAGAAACACAGATCTACAAAACCACGAGGGGCATAAAGGGAGGCAAGAACTTAGTGTCACAGCTTCATAAGGAAAGGGCAACAAGATTAACAGGTACAAAAATCTCTGTTCAAAACACACAGAAGGAAGCACAGAGTTCGCACAACATACAGCTGGGTGGAGAACTGCTCAAGAAGAGGCTAGACTATGGAAAATAGCAATCCATCTAGGATTAGCAAACACACAGACATCTCAGGAAGTACCTGAGTCACAAATGACCACAGGCTGAGAAAGCATTTGGAGCAGATATCACATATACCTGCCCTGATATTGCACTCAGTCTCTGGGCAGCCATTGTTGGTCAGTATGGAACAATAAAATGAATGCCCAGGTTTTCTTCTTCCAGAATTTTGACAGAAGATGTGGGGAAAAACCCAAAAGAAACACTGCAGTTATTTCTTAATACATGCCCTTTCCTGTGAAAATTTTAATAAAAAGCTGTCTGGCAAAATCCAGTTTAAGATCTATTTGAAATAAGGTGCACCCGTAGTTCATCTCATGCAAAACCTTTTTAGCATTTGTATAGCTTTACTGTTTCACAACACTTTGCCCTCCCTTTATAAGCTATTCCATCTTACAGATGGAGTAACGGAGATAGATGGACTAAGTAATTGTTTCAAACTCCCCAAAGAGAAACAGCTATTAGAAAATGAGGAGTTTTTTGCTTCCAATTCTGTGTTCTGTCCAGTAGATTACAGCACTCTCTTAGAGATTACAAAATAAAGGGATAATATATTCACACAATCTGCCGCATTCAGGGGAACTACTGAGTTCAATTCTGGTCAATACATCTCAAAGACAGAACTGCAGGGTAAAGGGTTCAAAGATAACCAAGCAGAATGAGAAACCTGGAAAAATACCACCTATACAAGCAGAGGCTGAAAAGGTGAGGACTGCTAAGCTTAGTGGGAAGGTAAAAAAGGGAACAGAACAGAAATCTACAGAGAATGACTAATGAAGAACTCCTTTCATCCCCTTCACATAAGGCATATTAAAGGACAAGAACTATTTGAAATTGGAGAAAGAATTTATAGTGCACATAGCTAACCCACAGCACACAGTGCCACGTGATACTGAGGCAAAGAGCTAAACAAGTGCAGAAAAAAGTGGCTGAGACGAGAATGCTGGCAATGACCCAAGTTCCATTACGGCAAATAAAAATACTGAATGAAAGTAAACTTCTGCTGCAAGCCACGTGTCAGCAATCGACAGCTCTTCAGAGGTTCTCAAAGCCATTCTCCAAGGGGATTCCATTGTTTGAAGGGGTTTGCTGGTTGTTTGCATCTTACCTCGCAGTCTTTGTAAGCTGACCACCATCAGGAGAACCAGGACAGCCTGCCTGACACAGCACAGCAGCTACTTTGGCACAAGTAGCGTGCTTCTTAGAAACAACACAACAGCTTTTTGCATCCTACCAGGAAGGTGATTGGTTCTTTCCATCAACCATTCAGGAAATTCCTTCAAAACAAACTTAGAGAACTTGCCATCTTGAGTTCTGTTCTCAGGAAGAATTGGGGACAAAGGCAAACTGAATGTATGGAAAAGGGGAGGACAAGGGGAGTTCCTCACAGCACAGACCCTAGAAGGACATTTGGCTTTCTAGCTCCACACTGAGCCACCCCATCTCCTGGCACAGCACCTTCAGACAAGCTGTGACCGTGCTCCAGATGGCCATCACTTCCAGCAACAGCAGAAAAAGGAAACTTCTCCTTCAACTCATTCTCTCTGATGCTTTTGCCTTTTTTTTCTAATATACCAATGTTGTTTTGTGTTGCTGTTTTTTTGGGTTTTTTTTTTTTTTTTAATGTATGCATGCTACACATGTATTTATATACAGACATAAATAAAAGCCTGAGGTGGAAGGTTTGGGCACAATTGAAGGATTAATAAATAAATAAATTCACATCAAGGTCTGCGTGTATTCAACAAATAAAAGCAGAATTATATAAAAGCAACAGCTAATAAAAAAGATTGCTCTGTGCTGTGTTTTCCATCTTTCCAACCATTATAGGAATAAAATTATCCACAGAGATCGAAAACCTTTTTCAAAACTAATACAATTAAGCTTTATTACACTGTTTCAAGTACATTTCTCTCCTCTCCTTTCTAGCCTCCACCACCTCCCACTCCAGTCTAACGGTTGAAGGCATTCTTCCATTTTATTATGAACAAGATGCTAGTGTTTGAGGGCCAGAAACTTCCCAGTGTTTCAGGAGAGGAAAGAAACCCTGCGCTTCTTAATCTACTTTTTCTTTGGACAGGTAGGAACTCAAAGGCAGTCTCTGTGTATCTCCACAGTTTGCAGAGGACTGTGAACAAGCAACATTACTCCCTAGAACGATCCTGCACCGAAACAAACAAAAAAACCCACACTGCATTGTTTACAAGTTATAAAGGACACAGAAAAGGAAAACACTAAATACATAAGCCTTGAAGAAGAGCACAATGCAGGTCAGTCACAAGCATCTCCCCATTCCACTGCCCATAAAGGACACACACAATTTTTCCCTGCAGTTTTGTCTCGTGAGACCAGATCTGGAGAGAAGAGTGTAATGGCAGCACACAGCGTGAGACCGAGACACTGCAAAAAATTCCCTTTGCGTATGAACATATGGACAACTGTGATAATTAGAACGATAGCTGCAGGATTGTCTGCAATTTCACTGAACAATCCCCATTATCTAGAAATAGAATTTAAAATCTGAATGCAGCACTAAGTGGTAGTTTTAATCGTTTATTTTTTAATGAACTGTATAAAATAAAGTGTTGCAAAATCGTATCACGTGAAATTGCTTGTGGGCATGTTTTACCATCCATTGCTTAAACAAACCAAACTGCTGCATGGACAACCATGCAGCAGCAAGGAATGAGAAAGGGAAAAGACGTGCCAGTAGTTTTCTGTCATTTCTATAATCTGTAATTTTCCTGCATTCCATATTCACCATGATGCTACATGGCAGTAGTAAAGCTGATTGATTTCCATCTCTTTACGACCCACCTTGCACATTGCTTTGCATTTTTCAGTCACATAAGAATGAATTGGATGTATGCAACTCCCTGTCAGGAGGTCTAATTGCTTCAAACTGGAGAACATTACTCTCCACATTTATTAAAAAATAAAGACTACTTATAATATTATTTCATTTTGCCAGGAAGTAAAAACTGCATTAGTTCATAAGGAACAGCATGGCTGCTCCTATTTTTATGGCATCAATTTTTAAAAACTCATCATGGTAAACAATTAAACAGAGAAGCAAATCCCACATTTAGGGGAGAGATTCAAATCCCTAAATGCATTTTCAAAGGTCATTTCAGGCTTAAAAGATGCTTGACAGCGCCTCTTCAAATCAAGTTCATTTCAAAGGCTTGTCCAGCAAGAAACAGTGCTCTGCAGCAACATACTTTGAACTGCTGGGCTCCCCAGAGGACAATTAATAATACAACTTTAATTCATATTTAGAGCAAGATTTGTGATTTAAGAAAGAGAGACCTAACAAGGATTTTTAACAAAACAAAAAGCACAGAAAAATCTAGCTTTCATCTAAACCCCACAATGAAAAAAAAAGTTTGAATTGCTATGAACTTCATTTCAAAATCATCTAGTTACAAAGCGTTTATGTCTAAACGCGAGATCTTCACAGGGCTCTGTTTGCACAGCTCTTTCATTTAATTAAGTACGGAATGGGGGCAGACAAAGGGTGCTGACAGTTCCCGGTGTCAGCACGGTGCTTCTTGGCTCTCTGCTCAGATCCACAACGGATCCCATTCATACCCAGAGGCCACAAACAAAGGACAACTTGCCTTACCTTCCTCTCAATGCGCGCCAACTGCTCTTTATAGAAGGCCTCTTGCCGCTTCAGCTCTGCCTCCCTGCCTTGCAGCTCCACAGCCTGGGAAGAAGAACAAAGGAGAATCGGTAGAAGAAGAAATTAAAGGTGAAGAGCACGAGGGCATGGAAAGCACGTGGGATGCAGACTGGAACTCAGAAGATCCACACTGCTCAGGTCTAATGTATGGGATCCCTGCCAACGCAGCTTCAAGCTTTCTGTGTTCTGGTTCACTTGGGACTAAACCCACAGGTCTGAAACACTTGTTAGTAACATACTCAAATGCAATACCTTGGTTTCACTTCTCCTTTCTACATGAAAGCCTATAATTACACAAAGGTAATGTGTCCGGACTTTCCTACCATCATTTTCTGAAGTCTTCCTTACTCAGGTGCATCTCATGAACCATGACGTCTATTACAACTTCCCTCACGTTACCTTAAAAATAAGCCTCAAGTCCTCCATTTCATAAACACCACTTTGAGCGTCAGAAAACTTCTACAGAGGTAACGCATCCCTGCAATCATAAGGGAAACACCCAACGCAAGGCTTTGTTATAACATTAATGGAGCAACACACTCTCAGACCATACACGTGCTCCTGCACACCTAGTTAAAGCCACTGCCATAACAATTCAGTGCACATCTCTGCACATACAATACCAGGCTGCACACCCAGAGCTCCAGTTGGATGATACAGACTTGGAAGGAACACGAAGGTCGGAATTCCTCTTCTTTCTTCTTAAGCGCAATGCTCCCAAAGTTTGGTATACAAAAGCACGCTGAAGGCCTTACTCAGTCATCAATTAAACAATGCCCAGTTTAAAAAGTAATAATAAAATTGTTTATAGCAACAGCTTTCGCCTTTCAGCTCTTTACAACTGGCAGCACTTTGCTGCATTCCCACTCCTAAGATGAGTTAGCATTAAGAAAACGTGGCATTGATGGAACTGAGTCAAGCTTTTTAAATCTAAAAATAAAAAGCAACAATAGCTAGAAGAATGGCACTTGTGTTTCTCTTCCCATCCCTCTCCAAGATCGCTGGGGCCTCATAAGTTACCACTGCACAGAAGATCTTTCAAAAGCTAAACAAGTAGTCAGTTCACCATGAACACACACCCTGCTAACCTACAGCATCCCAGCAGCACCACTCATAACTTTAATGGTGGTACAATCACAGAAAATGCTGGTCCAACGTGATTAAACAGCTGGGACAGAAACATCCCCGTGGGCTCAGACCTGTCATTTTACAGCCAACAGCCATTGTTAATGAGAAAAATTACATCTGAAAGCAAGTTGCCATGCATTTCCTTCTTTCTGCTCCCCTGCTGATGAACTACAGCAGCATAAATAGGACTAAGAAGAGCCTTTAAGACACACAGTGAGGGATGGCTGATGAGTAAAGTATGAGCACGTGAAACAGAGGTTGGGGGTCTGTGTGTGTTTTAAATAAATAAAAAACCAACTTATTCTCATGTTTGTCAGCCCAGCCAACAGGGCCAGGATAAGGCACCAGCTCTGCAGACACATCTGCATGCCTTGTTCTCAAAGGCTCTGCTCAACAGCAAAAGCTCTGGCTTTGGTTTTGCTGGAGCTGCTGTACAACCTCCAGCTTGCACAGCAGATGAAACGTGGCAAGGGGGAGGCCAGGTGAGAGATGAGCCATACCTCTGCAACAACAAGGGCACTGATGGGCACCTCCTAACTGCCAGAATTTCCATTTTTTTTTTAATAAGCAAACTGGGATGATCCTTTTGAACACAGATCCACCCTCTGAATGGGTGCAACTTCAATCGAAATGAAACAGAGAGAAGGGACAGTGGTCCGGTGGGTACGCAAAGGACCTCAATTCTCCTACTAATTTTCTGCATAATACCCATAAAATAAGATTACTAGAAAAGTGTTTCATATTTCCTTAAGGGTAAAATATATAAGGAAATGAAAGAAGAGTAACAGAGTGCTGTCCCTTCTGCACAATTAAGATAGAAGTTGCTCTCAGTGTAAAGCATAATACAAGATGAAAACAGTCAAAAGATCAATGCTATGAAACACAAGAAAGTTTCTCCTTAGTCCAAGCAAATTAATTACATGGCAGTGCTACTCTTCTGGGGTAGCAGACTTCTCTGAGAGAACAAAAAAGTACTTACAACAATGCTGGCATCAAGACCTTAGCATACACACCATTCTATTTCCCAGATAATCCCACGTTACCACCATTAAATTGCACAATGAACCAGAGTTTGCAGTGCAAATTTTTACTCACCATTCAAACATGTTTTCAGTGTTTCAAAGAGCTGCTCAAGCATACTGAGAAACATTCTATGGAGTGAAATATCTGCTTGGAAGTTGCTTCTGTTTCCCTCTACTCCCAGCTGTTATTACCAGAAACTTTAGTATACTTCATGATGATGTTTGAAGTATGAATGGCACAGTCAGGGTGTACATCACTTGAAATATTCACTGTTCCAAACTGGGCTAGACATCAGGGGACATTTTCAATGAACATAGGATATTTATTAAGACTTCCTCTAGTCCTCTACTCCTCTGGAGTGCCTCCTATTCCCTACCTGAATTCAGAAGCCTGTGATGTCCCAGACAGAACTGGCTGCCAGAAATGATTATAATTTCACAGGGGACTGAGATTGCAGGTGGGAAACAAAGCATCAGAAACACTTTTCACATAAAGGCCTTTAAAAATAAAGAATGGAAGAAGGTGGAAAGATATGCATGATAAGACAGTGGTTTGAAAATCAGACATTGGAAAACTGCATTTCTCATCCATGCTGCAGAAATGACATCTGAGCTGGAACGTGGCATGCGAGAGATGACCAAAGCAGGGAGATGACATCTAAGAAACTGTACTGTAGAACACAGGCTGTCATATCAAGGAGGAGTGAGAAAAAACAAGGAGGGAAGGGAGGCACATTGCAGTTGATTGTAGAATATTCAAATGGACTCTAAATTCTGAATAGTAAAACAGGACAAATATTTGCAAAACAGAATGTATGCAACAAGCAATTTCCCTCTGCACAAAACCACCAGATACATTTAGGAAGTGCTCACGAACTCTTTGTAATGAAATTAAAAGCATTGAATCCCTACAGAAAGACAGTGAAGATAAGCTACAAGCACACTGCTACAGCTTCCAGGTGCACGCATACCTGGACCGGCTGGGGGCTATTTCAAGTTCTACCTACTTTTTAAATCTTCACACTCTTTTCACAGCCTGGAGTTTCTCGAGTTATCTGCATGGCACCCTGAAACACAACAAAGAGCTGGGGCACAGGTGTGTGCGACTCCCTGCCTCCTCCCCACCCTTTATGCAGTATCCATTTAGATACCACCTGTGACAGCACATCTCTAGAGCTGTGCATTACATATTGGCTCCGCTGAAGAATCCAAGCACTGCCCTGCTAGCTGACAGCCAGGCCAGAAGAAATATTTTGCAAATCTCTTAATTGAGCTGATGAATTATTGGTTCGTTCTGTCTGAACAGAACAAGAAACTGAGCCTCATCCTGAGCTGCAGCCAACACACAGCTCAACATGCTGTGCACCTGGTCTTGTAGAGCCAGGCTTCACTCTAGCTACGTCCATTCACAAATCAGCTTTGGTTTTCCTCTGTGAAATAACAGCAGAGTTCTATTACTCTTAATCACAGTTTCCTTCTCATCACCTTGTTAAATGTGAAAACTAAAAAGGAAGTCTGCTTTGGAAGGGCTTCTTGGCAGGGTTAGGTTACAGCAGGCAACGCAGCATGCGGGAATCAAGTGCAGCAAGAGCACAGCCTGCAGCTGCTGGAGACCTGCAGCACTGCTGGAAGACAGCATGGAAAAGACTACTGGGAAAAAACAGCCCCATCTCTAGAAAGGGAGACTCAGTCCAGAAGGGATGCTGCATACCTCAATCTACTTCCTCAGAAGTAAGTCAGAGCACCTGGCAAGGTTATTGCAAAAGAACTTATCTTCTTAGCCAAACATTCACCAGTCACAGAGGAACAAGTGAGATGACGCCCAGAGTGTCAGTCAGAGGCAACCCAAGGAAACAAGCTACAGGGATAAAAAAAAAAAAAAAAAACAAAAACAAAAGGTCCTGAAGTCTCTATCAGATGCTTTGGTTCTGCACTTTGCTGAGAGCAGTTGCCAGCTTCCTCCAGAGGTGCCCACCAACATCCCTGCAGTAGCACAGCAGACGTTAGGGCTGGGTACCTCAATCTGCCACGCTTCACCATTCTAGAGTTCTTACACTTCATGCTTTCCAATGTCTCTTCCAGTCCTGGCAGCAGTCCAGGAGGCAGGGGAGAAAAACAAATACTATTAAAGGCTCCAAGAGGAGACAAAGGGGTTGACAGCAGTGCACTGAAGAACAGGAGTACGTCCAAAATCAGCTGGTTGGCACACTCCTGGCCAAGCCTAAGGAGAACAGCAGGGCTGACAGGACAATATGAGCAGCAAGGGGCAGCCTGCACACTTCATGCTCCACAGTAAGCAGCAAACTCCACAGGGAGGGCTGTACCAGAGCAGCAACCATGGGGGAGCATTGACTGAACTTCCATTTGTATCAGCAGAAATATCACCAACAATGCAGAGCTGCCTGCAGTCACCATTCCAAACAGGCAAGGCCTACCACACCACTTGCTTTTTGTCCCCTTTCTCTCATTCTCTTGAAGGCTGGTGACTGCTTTCTTTGTTTTAGACCCCAGATGCAGCCTTACAGCCTTAAAAAGCAGTACTGGTGTAACCTTCATTTCCTCCTGTTTCTGCCACTGACTTCACCAGCTACACACACCACCAGATCAAGTTTGGTTTCAGCAGCTGTAAGCTACACAAAAGGAACCAGCGAAACCTTTATGGAGGAAATAATATGCAATTTTCTAGCTGAACACCTTTTAAAATGTAATGACAGAAAATAAAATCCTGCATCTGTGCTCAGCAATAACAATCTGTACGCACACAGTAACAACATGACACTTGGAATAAGCAAGATCCAGACAAAAAAAAAGAGCGCTTACCCAGGCGTCCAAATCCTCAGGCTTGGAATAAAGAGAGCGCAAGAGAAAAAGGAAGGAAAAGAGAAGAAAAAGAGAAATCAGTGATTTATGGAGGCCGCCTGCTGCTGCACAATGTAGCTTTTAGTGTGACAAGTTTAGAAAAGTTCCTTAAAAATGACTAGCATCTTAAATAGTGCAGTGCTGTCCCCTGTTGGGAACTGCGCTATTAAAGCAGGAGCATACATCCCCCAAAATAAAAACAAAGCAAACCTCCTGAAGGCTGAGGCAGGATCCCCTCACAGAGCAGGGCTAAGAACAGACAGCTGTGCAGCAGCCAGGGTGTCACACAAGGCACAACGTTATCCACAACATACACCAGAGGATGGGGCAGTGCTGGGTGTACTTGAAAGGAGGAGACCGACAGCCACACATCTCAAACTCCCCATGAAGAACATGCATCTTTTTGCCAAGGCAGTTTGGAATACGTAAGTTGACCTCAATAGCCAGTAATCTTCTTTACATGAGAACTTCAGAGTGCCTCCCAACAGAAAGCCAGTTGGCTGGGGGGGTTACTCTTTCAAAGGGGATCAACTACTACTTCATGCACATTCCAAATACCTTCCCAAATCCAAGCTGACCTCACCTGCTCCTTCATTTGTTAGCAAGCCAAGCAGATCCAGCAGGCTGCAGTGTTGCCTCTTTTTTACTCATTACTACTTTTGACTTGCACAGTAACCCAGCAGCAGCAAAGCAAGTGCAAGATGATAAACATTTCATGCCCATAAACACCTCCTTCTGAAGCCAAGGCATTTATGAGGCTCTCATTTGTTGTCAAGGGCTGCAAGCCCTCCCTGCCTCTCAGGGCCCCATTCAATCAGCAGCACTCTCACTAAGCAGGAACTCAACAAAGGCCAGCTGTTATTATGATGATTATTTATTTGGGAGATGTTGACAGGGCAGGAGGAACCTTCCTCCTGGTCGCAGTTCAGTGCCAGGGGGAGCAGACAGCAGAGTGAAATGTGTATGAGATCTGCCATCATCCTGAAGGCACAGAGCAGCTACATCAGGTAAGCGAGGGGTGAGGTGCTACCCACTGTGTGCATTGCCTATCCTCATCATTCACAACAGCAGGGAGGGGTGGGACAAAACATCTCCAGTTCAGCCAGGGGAAGCCCATCCCTTCCTGCAGACAGGTTTGATGTACTGACATCAAGTCCTTGGCCAAACAAACTGACACACAACAGGTGTTGACCAGCAATCACTGAGCCATCTTGACAAACGCCTGATCTGAATAACATTTCTCTTCCCACTGATTTTTACATCTGGACAGATGTGCTTAGTGTTTTAGCAACACCTTCGCAATAGCAAGGCTGTCCATCCTCAACAGACGGACAGAAAAAAACAGGACTCTTTATGGCATGATTATTTCGGCAGGTAGGGCACACACACCAGCAGCTCATTACTGGATGTGGATGTCATCCTTGGGACACCTAAGCCACTGACTGACACATTCCTGGTGGACAAATACTTCCATGACAAAATAACCACAGGGCACTGACTCAGTGACACTGAACAGTTGCTAAGAAGAGAACAAGAAGAAGAAACTCCTCGCTAAGATGCGATTCCTGTTGTATGCCTATTGACTCTAATGCACAACAGTAGAACTACACTGCTGCTAACCTCAGGGCTTTTGTTCTGCCAGTACTGCCACAGGCTTTAATTTTGTCACCTTCGAGGAGGAAGAAAAATTATTACAACAGGAACAGATGGATGTAGTGCAATGAAAGGGAAGAGGAAACTTAAAACAGGTTTTGATGCAATAGGAAATATTCCTGAGCTGAAAAAATAATTGTGCTTGGAGTGAAGCACAGACTAAATGAAATATAATAAAACACAAAAAAATGAAAACCCTAGCTACTGGTTTAAATTGTACTACTACTTAAGTCTGAGCCAAAATTTTTAGTAGACTTGCATTTATCATCGCTGATAACAGGAGATGCAGTGCGACCAACAGTATTTTCAAAGTTTAAGTTCACTGTGTAAGGAATTAGTAACATCTGGCTTCCTTGCTTCCTAACCAAACAAATTCCACTTCCAGCTCCCAGTTGGGGGTGTGAGCATTATAATCCCTGCCCTGGGACACAAGCCATCACTTAGCACCCTCAGTCAGTACTGCTGGTACTCTTCTGCTACAGCAGGTGGGTTACTTGGATAACCCAATGGACAGCTGAACAAATATTGAACTTCACTATTGGGGTCAAAATCAAACCAAGACATTCCCTTTGACTGTACCAGAAGCAAATGGTTATTATTGAAATGGGACCTGGGGCCAAATCAACAACCCCCATCCAAGGTATTTGAGGAAAAAATGTGACACGGTCTGCTTAAAGTGGACTGTGGTTGGATATGGGAAGAACAGCAATGCATCCATACGTCTGAAAACTTCACATTTGAACACTGGTTCTGCAAGCAGGGGATGTTTTCCCACCTATCAATGAAGTCATGAATACTGTGTCAAAATAGCATTTCATACTTATGGGCAATTCTCAGCGTTTCCTCTCACCCGACTCATACACAGCACCACCTACACTTCTCTTGTGCCCGTCATACTCTGAAGAAACATGAAAATAGTGGTTAAGCAATCAGAATATGGTTCTGCAGTGGGTAATGTTGGACAAAGGGATGTGCATGATGAAGTGGCCTGAGGACAGGCAACACCTTTGGAACCTGAGTGAAATCAGTCTGAACCTGGATGTCCACCACCTTGCCATGGGCAGTGATGCTGCTCTATAATTAATCTGACTACAGCATGACCAGTGACTCAGGAATTCAGACTACCAGATTGGCAGTGATCTGCTTAAGATCTGAACACGGAATAATTTTATGGGCACTGCCAACTTCAGGAGGCAAAGATAGAGTGGAATATGTAAGAAATGAGAGGCAGCAGGTGCCCAAAACCTAAGACAGCTGTTGGCAACAACTTTTGCATTCATATCATATATAAAGAGCTTTGCAGCACATATTCTAACATCTTGATGACCAGACATCATCACTGAATAAGCAAAGAGTCATTTCTCCATGAGGCAATAATCCAACTCCGAGCTTTACCATTATGGTAGGAGCTAAAGAATTTCAAGAATAAATATTCAGTACCCACTCCAGACCCTTAAACACTTCTAGTTCAGTGAAAAATCGAAGTACTATCAATATTAAATGTAATGAAAGTCAGGAATGTAACCAACTGACACAGGAAAGTAAGCACAAAGAGACAACTGAACAGCAAGCCATTTTGAGACAAGGCTGTGACAAAACTGCTCAACTAAAGTATACAGAGCACACATGATTCTACAAATATGAAGAAGGGAATCATCAGAAAAACCCTCTGCCCTTTTACAATACAGGGACAACTGCAATTCTAATAGATACAGCACTGCAGAAGATAGGTTTGCATTACTGACAGTTGATAGTTTTCATTTACTACAAAATAAAGGAAGCCTATTTTATAAAATCTAAAGTAAACCATCTGCTTTCATGGCTTGCTTTAATGCTCCAGCCTATTGCCACGTTCTCTTTTCCCATCACCACTTTATACATGTACACACAGTTTCCATTTTGCAGGCTGCCAACAGACAAGCACCCAATGTCTATAGGAATCTTACAGTGTTTGCTCTCTAGCTGTACACCCAAGATGCTTATTGCTGATAGCAGGTGAGTCAACAGCTCCCTCTAAATCTTCGTCTCCTTGCTTAAATCTCCACTCAGACTGTTAGATGTAAGACTCCACAAGACTTGCACTAATTTAGCCAAAAGAAAAAGAACTCCCAAGAGAGGGCATTGGGAAATTCTATAATTAATTGTGACTTCCTATCCCAGAACATGTTTCAGATCCTACTGAGTCCACGAGGTATTTTCTCAAAGAGCTAGGAGCAAGGGCCACTCAACTCCTCCTGGATTATTTCTAGCTCATGATCATTAATACAGACTCCCATCAAGCCAGCCTAGGGGTAGGCATATGGCTTTCTAGGGATGGTACAGACAGAGGAAAATAACAGTTACACACGCTTGCGTTCCAATCTCATTTCTGATCATGCATTTGGGTAAATAGCTTTCTCTTGCCAGGTTCTTAAATATCAAACACATTAGTTCTTAAGTCAAACATACTACATACTTCAAACACAACCACTGTCCTGTAAGGAATCGGGATAGTCTGCACAATCAACCCATGTGCTTCCAAGCAGCAAAAATGATGAACATGTGAGCTGAGGAGGAATTCCCAATCCACACTTGCTTACAAACACTAGCACAATTTTTACCTGTGTTTGAACAATACATTTTATATTTATTATTTATAGGCATCAACCACTGAATATAGTTTTAATATAGTACTGTGAACCCAAAGTTCCTTCTACAAGATCAGAAAACTAATTTCTTTATATTTAAAAAAAAAATGTCAAATATACCACCGTTTAAAAGAGGTGACTTCGAGGCTACTTTTTAGTACAGGCAAAGACTGTCTTAATTACATGCTTGAGTGAGAAAATTCTTGAAAGCCTTCAGTCAAGATGATGCATCCCATTTGTCCCTACAAATCCTTCTGCAGGTGGAGACTCAGACATTCAGACATCATATCTTTACCCACAATGAGTCCTGTGAATTTTCACCTTGCTGCTCTTTCATCCTGCACACACACACACACACACACAGCACACTTCATGCAGCATTACAGGGTCAGTATCTTTCCAAGGTAAAATCCAACCTCTGGGTTTGCCAAAATGTACATGGGAAAGACAGAACAATAAAGATTCAGAATAAATCAAGGGGATTCTGAAGCCATGCAGAAAAGGCCACAACAGACACATTAAAGAGAACTCAAAATAAGTGTCACACTAGTACATGTACTCAGTTATGCTCATAAGCAAAGTAATATCAAAGCAGGAAAGCAGAAAAAATTAAGAAAGATACTAATAGACTGCTGGAAAGAAAAAGAAATGAGAAGTGAAGGACCTGACCACAATCTCCCTCATTTCCATGATTACCAGAGA